TCTTCTACTGCTTTCCCAGGCCATAGCAGAGAGCTGGATGGGAAATGGAGCAGCCGGGACTCGAACCGGCGTCCATATGGAGGTAGACCCACAACTACACATTGGCCATCACATGAGTTATAAGAGTTACCTTTGGTCTTCTCTTCAGTAGTATGTAAAGATGAGTTAACATGGTTTCATAACTTAAATGGTATTTTTGTCAAATGTGCTGGAAAAGCAGAGTTTTGCAGACATCTCCACCCAGACAGGCAGCCTGCCCTTTCCTGCCCTGCAGGCAAGGGTCCTAACTTGAGTCTGCTCAAGGCTCACGTTCCTTTTCCTGGGTTCCAGTAAAAAGGTGGGGGGTGGGGTAGGGGTGGGCACAGCCTCATCAGGCAAGGATGCAGTTGAATCTTGGGAGAAGGGAGTGAAGGAAACGGTTTTTGTATTGTTTCCCAGCAACATAAAGGCAGTTGCAAAGGGCTACGTTTTTTTTTTTAAAATTTTTTTTTTTTTGCTGACTTCCAACAGGCAGAGTGGACAGTGAGAGAAAAGAGACAGAGAGAAAGGTCTTCCTTTGCCGTTGGTTCACCCTCCAATGGCCGCCGCGGGCGGCGCACCGCGCTGATCCGATGGCAGGAGCCAGGAGCCAGGTGCTTTTCCTGGTCTCCCATGGGGTGCAGGGCCCAAGCACCTGGGCCATCCTCCACTGCACTCCCTGGCCACAGCAGAGGGCTGGCCTGGAAGAGGGGCAACCGGGACAGAATCCGGCGCCCCGACCGGGACTAGAACCCGGTGTGCCGGCGCCGCTAGGTGGAGGATTAGCCTAGTGAGCCGCAGCGCCAGCTAGATTTTGATTTTTGAGGATTAAAAGTTTTATTTTTTGTCTCTTTCATATGTGAATAATTTGGGTAAATACATTCTTCTAGTAATAGCTTCTGTCATAATTTTCTACATCTATTTAAAAAAAAGATTTATTTATTTGAGAGGCAAAGTTACAGACAGAGAGACGGAGAGACAGAGAGAGATCTTCCATCCACTAGTTCATTCCCCAAATGGCCACAATGGCTGGAGCTGGGCCAGTCCAAAGCCAGGAGCCAGGAGCTTCTTCTGGGTCTCCCACACAGTTCAGGGGCCCAGGCACTTGGGCCATCTTCCCCTGTTTTCCCAGGCCATAGCAGAGAGCTGGATTGGAAGAGAGCAGCCGGAACACGAACCAGAGTCCACATGGGATGCTAGCACTGCAGGCAGAGGGTTAACCTATTAAGCCACAGTGCCGGCCCCTCCACTTTTCTCTTATGATTCATTTATAGCAATTGTCATTTTTCAGTTATATATTTCAGATTTATAATATAGCACAAAAAGTAATTATTCTCTTAAAAATTAGCCTTAAAGTCAAATTTAGAAAAACTCTTATTTAAAACCTCACTTTTCCCATCCAATTTTAATTTTTTTTTATTTGAAAGAGCATCCATCTGCTTGTTCACTCCCCAAATGCCCACAATGGCTGAGGCTGGGCCAGGCCAAAACCATAATCCAGGAACTCAATCCAGGTTTCCTGAATGGGTGGCAGAGACCCCACTACTTGAATCACTGTCTGCTGTCTTCCAGGGTGCACATTAGCAAGAAGCTGGAATTGGGAATGGAGCCAGGGCCCAAACCCAGGAACTCCAACATAAGTTGCAGGCATCCCACCTGGCATCTTAACTGCTGGGCCAGTCACCTGCTCCTTAGAATAGTTTTATTTGATTAAATATACTTTCTGATACCACTGTAAAGTTTTACATTAAAGCACAAAATACTAGTCAGTAAAGTTATGTGGCTATTCATACTAATTGCTAAATAAAATTACTGACTTCTGCTTTTTTCCTGTAATTGTATTAGTCTCCACAAGGCAAACCATTAAGAAAGGATCGGTCTGCAGAAGAAACTTTTCAACTTTCTCGGTGGACACCTTTTATCAAAGATATTATGGAGGTAAAAATCATTTAATTCTTACTTACACCTGAGTGCCCTCTCTAGAGTATCCTTTTCTTTTGTACATGTGTTTTCCTCTCAGTCTTCGCATATCTCTTGGGCAGAAATTTCCTGCAGCACGTTGAGGGCACACAGAAGACCGTATGTTGGGACAAAGGAGCAGGGGAAGCCCTGGAAGAGATGACTCCAGACAGCTCATTCCATTATCTCAAATAAGAAATAAGTAAATAAATAAATCAAAATAAACCACATAGGCTTTATGAGGAACACTGCTATGAGAGCACTTGAAAAATGCATGGGAAAACAGATTAAAAGATAAGTTTATATTGTTGCAAAACAATTTTAAATCCACACAGTTTTTTTTTTTTTCATAAAATTCACTTTCCATAAGCTTTTTGAAAATCTCCTGTATATTTTTATTTATTTATTTTAAATTTTTATTTATTTGTAAGAGAGAACACGTGAGACAAATGGACAAAAAGAGAAAAAGGGCCCATCCACTTGTTCATTCCCTTAGTGCCTATAATGTCCAGGAAGGCTGAAGCTAGGAACCGGGAACTCGGTCCAGGTCTCCAACATGGGTGGCAGGAACCCAGCTACTTGAGCCATGACTGCTGCCTCCCAGGTTCCACAATTTCAGCTTCCTGCTCATGTACACCATGGGTGGCAGCAAGTGATAACTCAAGTATGTGAATCTCTGCCACTTACTTGGGAGACCCAGATTGAGTTCCTTGCTCCTGGTTTTGACCTAGACCAGCCCTGGCTGTAGCAGGCATTTGGGGAGTGAACCAGCAGATGGGATGGCAGATCTCTGCTTGTCCTTACCTCTTTCTCTCCACCTTTCAAATAAATAAGAAATTTAAAAAAAAATTTTTTTTTTTTTTTTTTTTTTTTTTTTTTGACAGGCAGAGTGGACAGTGAGAGAGAGAGACAGAGAGAAAGGTCTTCCTTTTGCCGTTGGTTCACCCTCCAATGGCCGCCGCGGCCGGCGCACCGCGCTGATCCGATGGCAGGAGCCAGGAGCCAGGTGCTTTTCCTGGTCTCCCATGGGGTGCAGGGCCCAAGCACCTGGGCCATCCTCCACTGCACTCCCTGGCCACAGCAGAGGGCTGGCCTGGAAGAGGGGCAACCGGGACAGAATCCGGCGCCCCGACCGGGACTAGAACCCGGTGTGCCGGCGCCGCAAGGCGGAGGATTAGCCTAGTGAGCCGCGGCGCCGGCCAAAAAAAATTTTAAAGATTTTATTTATTTATTTGAGAGGCAGAGTTACAGAGAGAGGTCTTCCATCTGCTGGTTCACTCCCCAAATGGCCGCAATGGCTAGCTGGAGCTGAACCAACCCAAAGCTAGGAGCCAGGAGCTTCTTCCAGGTCTCCCATGCAGGTGCAGGGGCCCAGGCACTTGGCCCATTTTCTTCTGCTTTCCCAAGCCAGAGCAGAGAGCTGGATCGGAAGTGGAGCAGCTGGAACGTGAACCAGGACCCAAATGAAATGCTGGCGCCATAGGCAGAGGTTTAACCTACTAATGCCACAGCACCCGCCCCAATGATTTTTTTTTTAAATCATAGGCTTAAACATAAGGATTTTTTCCACAGTTACTACATATAACTAGTTTCTTGTGGCTAGCATCTTTAAAGTAAGAATTGAATTTCATGAACTCTCTACCAAGGATTTGCATGAAAAATTCAGAAAATTGACATTTGGATCAGTGGAAATCTTGCAAAACAGTTTCATCCTTTCTTTTTTCTTTTTTTTTTTCTTTTTTCTTTTTTTTTTTTTTTTTTTTTGACAGAGTGGATAGTGAGAGAGACAGAGAGAAAGGTCTTCCTTTTTGCCGTTGGTTCACCCTCCAATGGCCGCCACGGCTGGTATGCTGCGGCCGGCGCACTGCGCTGATCTGAAGGCAGGAGCCAGGTGCTTCTCCTGGTCTCCCATGGGGTGCGGGCCCAAGCACTAGGGCCATCCTCCACTGCCTTCCCGGGCCACAGCAGAGAGCTGGCCTGGAAGAGGGGCAACCGGGACAGAATCCGGCGCCCCAACTGGGACTAGAACCCGGTGCGCTGGCGCCGCTAGGTGGAGGATTAGCCTAGTGAGCCGCGGCGCCGGCCTTCATCCTTTCTTTTAATCTTATGGAAATATTCTTAGACTATTGAGTACTTGGTGCCCTCTCCTTGTGTCCAGTTGTTAGTACCATTTGTACTACCATGCTGTAAAGCATTGGTCTCCAAACTTTTTTGAAGATCTATTTATTTATTTGAAAGGCAGAGCAACAGAAAGAGAGACAGAGACAGAGATGGTTCTTCCTTTTGCTGGTCATTCCCTGAATGGTTGTAACAGCCCTGTTTGGGCCATGCCAAAACTAGGAGCCAAGGTCTCCATCCTGGTCTCCCACATGGGTAGCAGGGGCCCAAGTACTTGTACAGGCCATCCTCTTCTGCCTTCACAGGCGCATTACTGGGGAGCTGGATTGGAAGCGGAGAAGCCAGGACACTTCCCAGCATCCTGATATGGGATGCATGCATCGCAAGCAGCGGTTTAACCCACTATGACGCAATACTGGCTTCAATACTGGCTTCTTCGTCTAGCAGTCTAGTTGACAGGCAGAGTGGATAGTGACAGAGAGAGAGAGAGACAGAGAAAAAGGTCTTCCTTTTTGCCGTTGGTTCACCCTCCAGTGGCCAGTGCAGATGGCGCACTGCGGCTGGTGTATCGCGCTGATCCAAAGCCAGGAGCCAGGTGCTTCTCCTGGTCTCCCATGGGGTGCAGGGCCCAAGCACTTGTGCCATCCTCCGCTGTACTCTTAGGCCATAGCAGAGAGCTGTCCTGGAAGGGGGCCAACCGGGACAGAATCCAGCGCCCCGACCGGGACTAGAACCCGGTGTGCTGGCACCACAGGCGGAGGATTAGCCTATTGAGCCGTGGCACCGGCCAGTACTGGCTTCTCCAAACCTTTTTGATCACATACACCTAACCATAAAAAATGTGAGCATAAACCTATTTATTTATAAATTATGCATTACTATACTGAAAAAACACACGTAATCTGTGTATACCATATAACCATACACAGAAGTATATCAGAAAATTTAACCCTGAGAAAGGGAAAATTTTTAAAATAAATTAAAAGGGAAATTGCCCACATTTCACTAGATTGTCGAGGACACCCAGGCCAGGTGTGCAGAGACTGTTTAGAACCACTGTTAGGAAGAGCATAGCCTTAGGGGTCTCTCAGGACTGGGATGGTACTGAGAAATCCCTAACACTCAAGCCAAAGGTTCTGATAAGCATCTACAATCCTCCATTTGGGGAACCTCCAAGTGGAGAAAGGGTGAGTCCACAATAAATGCTGGTTTAATAAGTAAGTGAATGATTGCATTCATTTTTTAAGCAAGTAAGATTGGTGTGTTTCAAAGCAAGGGCTAATTTATTGTTTATATGTCCTTCATGTTCACTAATTGTAAATATAGTTTTTGACCTCTTTGCAAAACAAACAAAAATCCTGGAATTCACAACATTTTCTTGATAGTGTTAACTCTTTTCTTTCTTAGGATGCCATTGATAATAGATTAGATTCAAAAGAATGGCCATATTGTTCCCAGTGTCCAGCAGTGTGGAATGGCTCGGGAGCTGTAAGGTAAAATCTGTAAATAAAAGTCAGTGAAAATCACCAGTGTGATACTGGAGACTAATAATCAAATATGATATACGGGTACACTTATTTGGAAACTGTCTTTGAAGCATGTAGTCATATAAAAGATAATTTTTCTTTGTAATCTATTTTAGAAGAGTCCAGTTAAGTAATATGAAAATATACTTTATTACTTTATTATACAGAATATTTACATGAAACTAAAAACATCCCCCACCTCTTTCTTTACATAACAGAGGGCTTAATCCTTCTTGATTTTTTTTTTTTTTTGACAGGCAGAGTTAGTGAAAGAGAGAGACAGAGAGAAAGTCTTCCTTTTCCGTTGGTTCACCACCACCCCCAAATGGCCGCCGCAGCCAGCGCACTGTGCTGGTCCAAAGCCAGGAGCCAGGTGCTTCCTCCTGGTCTCCCATGCAGGTGCAGGGCCCAAGCACTTGGGCCATCCTCCACTGCACTCCCTGGTCACAGCAGAGAGCTGGCCTGGAAGAGGAGCAACCGGAACAGAATCCGGCGCCCCAACCAGGACTAGATCTTGGGGTGCTGGCGCCGCAGGCAGAGGATTAGCCTAGTGAGCCGTGGGGCCGGCCTCTTGATAATTTTTTAAAATTTGTCATCCTTTTTTTTAATTTCCTTTCCTGTTTTCATTTTTATTTGAAAGGAAGAGACAGCGAGAAAGGCAGAGAGCAATATTGCCCTATCTGGGTCACTCCCCAAATGCCTGCAACAACCAGGGCTGAGCCATGCTAAAGCCAGGAATTCCACCTGGGTCCCCCATGTGAGTGGCAGGAACCCAAGTAGTTGGGCCATTGTCTTCTGCCTGACAGGCAGCCGCATTAGCTGAAAACTGGATCTTAAGTGGAGTTGTGACTTGATCCAAGCACTCTAATAAGGAATCAAGGCATCTCAAATGGTATATTAACCACTGTCACAACACCTGCCCTGATGACTTTCCTGATGATGAAATATTTGAAATGTATAGAAAAGCTATAGGTAATATAATGCATAACCTTATATTTGATGTCCAGCTTAACACTGTAAATATAATTCAAGTTTCCTGCCTGTCACTGTGACTTTATTATTCTCCATTTCTTTCCTATCCTGAATTTGATGTTTACTATTTACCTGTGTATCTTTATACTTTTTCCACAAATATTTGTATTCCCAAACAGTGTCTTGAGTTGTGTTTTATTGAATTCTCTCTTGGTCTTTGGCTTTTAGCTGTGTCTGGGTGTAAATCTCTTTTTTTGTTTATTCTGCATAGGATTTCTTGAGTTTCTTGAATCTACAGATTAGTAGTTTTCATCAGATTATTTCTTCAAAACTTTATCTGTCCCTATCTCCTTCTGAAACATGCATTATACACACATTATAAGGTTTAACATTGTTGCATGGATCTGTTTATTTTTCTCGCATCTTTTATTCTCTCTATTCTTCAGCTTTTGTAATCAGGTTCACTGATTATTCTGACATATAAATCTGCTGTGTAGCCTATCTAGTGAATTTTCCATTTTGGTTATTATACTTTTCACACTGAGAATTTTCATTGGTTCTTTTTTTTTTCAAACTTTTATTTAGTAAATATAAATTTCCAAAGATTTCATCAGTTTGCACCCACACAGAACATAAAGTGTAAATCCATTGGTTCTTTTTTAATTTATAGTTTTCTGTTGAAATCCTGTTGGTTAACTTATTGTTAGAACATAATTTTTCTTTTTGAATATTATAACTGGTTTTTTTTTAAAGATTTATTTATTTATTTGAAGGGCAGAATTACAGAGAGGGGGAGAAAGACAGAGAGAGGTAAATCTTCCATCTGCTAATTCACTCCCCAAATGGCCTCTACAACCATGGCTGGGCCAGCTTGAAGACAGAGGCCTGGAAAACTCCATCCAGATCTTCCACGTGGGTTCAGAGTCCCAAGCACTTAGGTCATCATCTTTTCATTGCTTTCCTGAGCACTTTTGCAGGGAGCTGGATAGAAATTGGAGACAGCCGGGACTCAAACCAGCAGTCTGAAATGGTGGCATGACAGGCAGCTTAATCTGCCGTACCACAGTGCCAACCCCAATGCCTCTTAATCTCTTCAAGTTTTTTCATTTCTTCTGTTTTTTGTGTTTCATTCTGGAAATTATTTTTCCAATAAATTTCAGTTCTTTAATTTCCTTTTTTCTAATATGCTGTGTTATACTTCCAGTTTCTATTTTCAGTGACTTCAGTTTCCATTTTAGAAGTTCTGCTTACCTGTTTTTTCAGGTATGCTTAAATCATATCATTGTTTTGGGCAGTATTATCTCCTTTACTTTGCTTTCTTATTCTAGTTCTCTCGTTCAAAAAAAGTGGTTTTTAAAATTTATTTTAGTTATTGTAAGGTAGAGAGAGGGAGAGAGAACTCCCATCTGCTGGTTCACTCCACAGATGCCTACAATAACCAGAGTTGGGCAGACAAAGCAAGCAGCAAGGAACTCCATCCAGGTCTCCCATGTGGGTGGCAGGGACCCAAGTACCTGAGGCATCACCTGCTGCCTCCTAGATGTGTATTAACAAGAAGCTGGAATCAGAGCAGAGCTGAGATTTGAACCCAAACACTGCAGTGTGGGAATCACAACTCCCAAATGGCAGTTTAACCAGTGGGCCAAATACCTGGCACTGGAAATTTTACTTATTTGTTTTATTTTATTTGAAAGGCAGAATAACAAGAGAACACAGAGCTCCTGTCCACAGATTTACTCCACATGTCTGCAAAAGTCAGTGTTAGCCAGGCCAAAACCAGGAGCTGGGAAATCAGTCCCCATGGGCGGCAGGGACCCAAGAACTTGAGCTATCACCTGCTGCCTCCCAGAGTGTGTTTTAGCAAGAAGCTAATCAAGAGCAGAACCGGCATCCCATATGGGCACTGGTTCGAGTCCCAGGTGCTCCACTTCCGATCCAGCTCTCTGCTATGGCCTGGGAAAACAGTAGAAGATGGCCCAAGTCCTTGGGCCCCTGTACCTGTGTGGGAGACCCAGAAGAAGCTCCTGGATCCTGGCTTCAGATCAGCGCAGCTCTGGCCGTTGCAGCCAATTGGGGAGTGAACCATCGGATGGAAGACCTCTCTCTCTCTCTCTGCCTCTCCTCTCTCTGTATAACTCTTTCAAATAAATAAATAAATCTTAAAAAAAAAAAAAAAAAGAGCAGAGCCAAGATTTGAACCCAGGCACTCCAATATGGGATGCAGGAATCTTGACTCATTTCTTAACCACTGTGAAAACTCCCACCATAGAAATGTTTTTAACGTGATTTTTTTTTTTTTAACTTTTTAGTGCACGCCAGAAACCCAGAGCTAATTATTTAGAAGACCGGAAAAGTGGTTCAAAGCTGATTATTTTTGTAATTGGAGGAATTACATACTCTGAAATGCGATGTGCTTATGAAGTTTCTCAGGCACATAAATCCTGTGAAGTTATTATTGGTAAGATGTTTCTTCTTTTCTGTTTTTTAAAACAGATTCTAAATACAAAAATATACGTAAAATTTTAACTTGGGTTACACATTTAAGACTTAAATTTTTTTTTAGCATTTATTTATTTGAAAATCAGAGTTATAGAGAGAGAGGGAGAGACAAACATCTTCCATCTGCTGGTTCACTCCTCAGGTGGCTATATTGACTGGGGCCAGGAGCTTCTTCCAGGTCTCCCACATGGGTGGCAGGGGCCCAAGGACTTGGCTGTCTTCTGTGCTTTTCCCAGGCCATTAGCAGGGAGCTGGATCAGAAGAAGAGCAGCCATGTGGGATGCTGGTGCCACAGGCAGCAGCTTTACCCACTAAGCCACAACGCTGGCCCCAAGACTAAATTGTGGAATGCAAGAAGACCTTTAGCCATAAAATGTTTTATTGATATGCTGGATTTGTTTCCTAGTTGATCTCTTTGATCATTGTATTTTAAATTTTGTTTGCTCTTATATCATTACATAATTTTAAATGCCAAAATACATTTCTACCTCTGAAATATTTTGTGGATATGGACCTGACACTGGCAAAGTTTATATGGAATTGAGTTTTAGGAATTCACTCAAAGCCGCTGTGAAAAGTAAACTCTCCTGACACAGGGAACTGCAGGACCTGTATGTCCTGGGTCCTCATCACTTTTTGCTGGTTCTCTGTTACTGAATGACAGCTGTTGTGGTTCTGTTAAGAGGATGGAGTAATTCCTACTTTTACTCTTTAGTGTACATATACAGCACTAACTAGACAGTGCTCTAGGAACGGGCATTGTTTCTGAGAGGTTGCTGAGCGGGCATGCTCAGTGATGAAGAAGGACCGAAATATGGCGTAGGCAGGTCAGGAGGTTTTGCTATACGGATTTTGATAAATTAGACCAAGCTACTGCGTTTTGCATGTTTGAAGGACAAGACAATGTATTAAGCAAAGGAAAATCAACTGAACTGCTGACTTCTGAAAGTTTTTCTTCTCTCCTACCAGGTTCTACACATATTTTGACACCCAAAAAGCTGTTGGATGATATAAAGATGCTGAATAAACCCAAGGATAAAGTCTCCTTTATTAAGGATGAATAGCATTTTTATTGGTTAGAGATTCTTACTAATATCTTCAACTAAAGCAGAACAAGAAAATTGCTATCATGTAATTTAAACACTGTAAATGTTTTATAGAACAATGCCTTTTCAAATGTATTTCCTAAGGGACTGTTTATGATTATGTATTATTGGATTTGCCATTTTTAATAATTTAAATATTGTTGCTGCTTTGTAGATGATAAGAAGAAATGTTAAAATGCTTTCTAAAAATGTTTTTTACTTTAACAGAATGTATTAGGATTGTGGGTAATTGTTCATAGCTACATATGTACATAGTAATTGCTCATTAAATACTTATCTAAGAATTTCATACCAAAGTATAGTTTCTTGGGAAAGGAAAGAATGATTTTAAATGAAGAGGTTATAAAAGTAAAAACTGTAAATGTGTATGTATGATAGAACTATTTCCTATAAGTACAATTTTCTTTTAATCTTAAATTTATAATTTCTTTTACATATGTGTAAAATAATAAAATAATCATTAATGCAGTGATTTCACAGTGTATACTGTCTTGCTAGATATTTCTAAAAAACACAGCTTTATATAATTTTGAAATCATGTATGTTTAAATTAGAAAACCAAAAATAATTATGAATATTCTAAGAGAAAATAAATATATAGTTACAAAAATGACTTTGGTTTTTTTATTTCTGGCAAGGAGGGAAAATTTTAAAGCTTCTAAATAAGAATTACAAAGAAGAAAATGACAGGGACAAGGCAACATTTGCAGATTTATACAAATGTTTCCAAAAAGTAAATTCCCAGTAGTGGCGTAGCTGGTTAGAGGACTTATATGTTTAAAATATTGACAGAAATCATACCAATTTTAGTTTTTATGTAAGTTTGTCACTTTGGGGCCAGCATTGTGGCACAGTAGGTTAAGCTGCCACTTGCAATGCTGTCATCCCATAGTGGATTGCTGGTTCAAGTCCTTGCTGTTCTACTTCCAATCCAGATTCCTGACAATATGCCTGGGAAGGCAGTGAATGATGGCCCAAGTATTTGGGTATCTGCCACCCGTGTGGGAGACCCAGATGGAGTTCTGGCTCCTGGCTTCAGCATGGCTCAGCTTAGCTGTTGTGGCCATTTAGGAAGTGAACCAGCAGATGGAAGACTGATTCTCTTCTCTCTCTTACTCTCTCTTTCTCTCTTGGTCTTTCTTTTCTCTCTCTCCTCTTTCTGTTACTCTGCCTTTCAAATAAGTAAATCTTTTTTTAAAAACCATCACTTTTCCTTTTTAGCTTCTGAATTTCATACTTAGAAATATCTTCTGTACTCCAAAATTATAAATTCAACCACAGTTTCTTCCAGAACGTTGTGATAGATTCACTTTATTTCTTTTACAAGTAATCCTTTAATCCATATGGAATTGGTCTTTTTTTTTTTTTTTTGGATTGTTCAAGTATTGATTGTTTAAAAAGGAAGCCTGCATCATTTGCTACTCATTTTGAATTTGTGGTCACTCCATCCTCTCTCCAGATCTTTATATGCCAAACCTTAGGTCACTACAGACATTCTTCATTTTGTCAGTTTAATTAATTTGAAGATAACATGGATTTTATTGTAAAAAATAAGAATATTTTTATGTTTTCAGAATAGTTTTTAAAACTTCATAATTGATCATTCCATAGGCAAGGCACACTAAAAATGTTTTAAATTATTATGACAATCTTGTTTAAAAATCTTGAAATAGTTCTATAGGAATTACTGTCTAAAATGTGGAATTAACAAGGACAAGCAATTTTTTAAATTGTCCTTTCAATTAGAAGTGAAGTCTTTAGAGCATTTAATTGTCAGCTGTCACCATGGTTGTAATAGTCCTTGTAACGAATTGCATTTGTTTCTGGATCAATTGTAGCAGCCAACATTTCTTCCATTTCCTCTAGTGAAAAAGGTTCACCTTCTTCGAGTCATACACTTGATCAGTTCTTTAGTAAGAAACCCACGTTTAGCTGGATCTAAAGCCTCAGAAGCTCCAAGAAGAACATCTGGAACTGGGCTGTACCTTTTTTCCAGTAGTGCTTTGGCCATCACTGGAAGAAATCTTTCATATCGGACGTATCCAGCGGGTTCTTCCTCTACCTCCGCAATCAGCTCGTGGAGCTCACCTTCACTGGGGCAGCACCCTAGGGACCTGACAGTCGTTCCAGTCTCCCTCCCATCCACTGTATTATTCGACTCACGGTCCAACACTTCAAACGCCTCTTTGATATTTTTGTGCAATTCTGCTACTTCTCTATCATCCGCCATCTGGTGGTAGCCGCGCCGGTCGCTGGGGAGATGCCCACCTTTAACGTCAGTCGCGTCCTTGCCCCCTGCGGGTCCCCTCCGTTGCGCACCCCCCTGCCAGCCCTGCCTGGAGGAGGGGAAGGAAGACCCTGGCCGGGGTAGAGGGAACACGGAGCTGGTGCGCTTCCCGCCACGACCCTCAGGTGCGTGCGGGTCGGTGGAATGGGTCTTAGTGTATGAATGAATGCTAGACGTTACCTCTTACCACTTGCCATTGTGTACCGCGACTCCAACCGCCTACCACAGGGAGAAAAAGCTAAAAATGAAGTTTTACAGACTCTTAGGTAAGTAGGTTCTGAAGAGTTGGTTCTGCCAGTGATGCGCACTTGGTCAAGGTTTAGAGAGCATGTGCTGTGCCAGTGGGCAAACAAGCTCTGACAGGCCGGAGCAGTCCGTAGCAACCAGACTCCGCAGCTGAGCCTCTGCCGCCCGCTGCTGGTGTGAAGCCGTGCTGTGCGGTGGCAGCACCAGTCTTCTGTCCTCTGGATCGCAGGCGGTGATGTGACCTGGAGTCTTCGGTTTCTGCTCCTCCACCTTTCGATGGTTTTGATTCTCTTCATGAAATTACTTTCTGCTTGAATATCTGGAGGAGCAGAAACCTGATGCAGTGTGCAAGGCCCCGTTCAGCCTTTCCGTTCAGCCCGATGCTCTCCCACGTTTTATTGCCTGATTCTTCTTTCCCCAACTAATCTGCACACCACCACTGTCACTGACTAACTTCCCATTTGTATCTGATGGGTTTATTTCTGGATTCTAATTGACTAATCTCTCTAATTAATTCTCTCTAATTATATTTCTTGTTTCCTGCGTATTCCTGGTATATTTTACTATGTACTAGAAGGAACCCTTACTCCACCCTCCTAAGTTACTATTATATTTCAGAAATTTTCTAGCTATTAGATTTTTCTAGACAAACTTCAGTATTGTTTTGTTGAGTTCCCAAAAAAAGTTATTTTGGTACTTTCATTGGGTTTATGTTAACTTTTAGATTAGTTTAGGGGGAAATGACATCTTTATAACATCAAAAGGTATTCAGGAATACAGAATATCTTTCATTTGTCTAAAACCTGCAGAACTTTTGTTTTCTTTGTATAGGTGCTACATATTGTCAAAACTATCTGATTTTCTGATTCCATTGTGGATTGGATCTTATACTCTTCTCAAATGTTTTTATATAGAAAGTTAGTAATTCTGATATATTTCATAGCTTGCTACTTTACTAAGTACTGGTAATAAAATAATGATATGCAAATACTTAACTGCTTTCTAATGTACCACTTTTTTTTTTAAATTAGGATAACTCCTAACTGCTTTCTAATGTACCACTTTTTTTAAAAATTAGGATAACTCCTAATTTGTTGTTGTTGTTGTTGTTGTTGTTTAAAGATTTTTATTTATTTGTTTGAGAAGTAGAGTTAGAGAGAGGGAGAGACAGAGAGAAAGGTTTTCCATCCGCTGGTTCACTCCCCAAATGGCCACAATGGCCAGAGCTGAGCCCATCTGAAGCCAAGAGCCAGGAGCTTCTTCAGGGTCTCCCATGCAGGTGCTAGGGCCCAAGTACTTGGGCCATCTTCCACTGCTTTCCCAGGCCACAGCAAAGAGCTGGATCAGAAGAGTAGCAGCACCCATATGGGACACGGGTGCTGGAGGAGGAGGCTTTAGCCCTCTATGCCACAGCGCTGGCCCCTAATATACCACTTTTTAAGAGCTTATATTAACTCATTTAATCTTATCTGATCTGTGAGGGTAGGTACTGTTGTTATGATCTCTTTTAAAGCTGACAAAACTAAGGCACAAAGGGATTGGTGTAGCTGTGGATGTGTGTTTGGGAGGAAAGGCGTGGCATTAATAGCCCTCTATTTCTCCTGTCAAGCATGAGAGAATAATTTGGGGCGTCTGTGTTTTATCTGAGAACATTGGGTACCTCAGTAACTGTGCAGGGTTAGGACATGCGTGGAATAGATATTTAGACTAATTAGTGCCCAGTGACATTTGGAACTAAGAGTGTGATGACAGTAAACACTGGTCCTCAGTCTCCTAGCCCCGCAGGGATCCCTTTTCCCTTTCATGCTGATAGCAGATCCTCTTGAGTCCTTTATTTCACACCTATTTTATTTGATTTAAAAAATATTTTATTTATTTAAAGGCAAAGTTACAGAGAGAGACAGAGATCTGTCCATCACTGGTTCACTCCCCAAATGGCCAATGTGTCTGGGCAGGACTGGACCAGACCAAAGCCAGGGACCAGGAGCTTCTTCCTGGTCTCCCACGTGAGTGCAAGGACCCAAGGACTTGGGCCATCCTCTGCTGCTCTCCCAGACACGTTAGCGAGGAGCTGGAGCTGGACAGGAAGTAGAGCAGCCAGAACTTGAAGCAGCACACATACAGGTTGCCAGCGTCCCAGGCAGCAGCATGACCCACTACACCACAACGCCGGCCCCGTATAATTAAGAATTAGATCATTTACTTAAGTCTTACTGAATCTGAACACACAGGGATCTTCTAATAAGTTAATTTTCCTCCCATAGTATTAGCAGTGAGAAATTCTAAAATTAAGACCTTGAAAAAGAATTTCAGGGGCCGGCGCTGTGGCATAGCAAATTAAGTCATCACTTGCAGCTCTGGCATCCCATATGGGTGCTGGTTCAAGTCCCAGCTGCTCCACTTCTGATCCAGCTTTCTGCCACGGCCTGAGAGAGTAGCAGAAGATGGCCCAAGTGCTTGAATCCCTGCTCCCACGAGGGAGAGATAGAAGAAGCTCCTGGCTCCTGGCTTCAGATCGGCCCAGCTTCAGCCATTGCGGCCATTTGGAGAATGAACCTGCAGATGGAAGATTCATTCTCTCTCTCTCTGTATCTCTACCTTTCAAATAAAATAAATATTAAAGAAAAAAGAATTTAACTGACAAACATTCAATCACTGTCAATGAAGCAATTTTGCTTCCTGTTAAAATGTACTTGGTGTATAAAGTACAGTGGATTCATGTTGTTCAATCGTATTAGCAAAGGATAAATAAGAAAAATGTCTCTGTAACCATGTTCCCAGCACCTTGGCTTCTGCTGTCTCTGGGTCACAGAGCAGTTCACAAGGACACAAATTCTTGGCTTTGAGCCCTAAAAGGTCTAGATCCTGGCAGTTTACTGTGTTGTGATGCCTCCGTAACTCAATTCTGCCCCAGGAAGTTTGTGCCTTTGTGAGTCCTATCAGGATGCAAGCAGATTTCTTCTAAAAGAAATGCCTGCCTGGGACCTGTGCTGTGGTGCAGCCTACAGTGCTGACATCCCACATGGGTGCCGGTTCCAGTCCTGGCTGCCCCTTTTCCGATTCAGCTCCCTGCTAATGGGCCCAGGAAGGCAGCAGAAGATGGCCCAAGTCCTTGGGCCCCTGCACCTGCATGGGAGACCTGGAAGAAGCTCCTGGCTCCTGGCTTCTGATCAGCTCAGCTCCAGCCAGTGCTGCCTTTTAAGGGAGTGAACCTGCACGTGGAAGACCTTTCTGTCTCTCCCTCTCTGTCTGTAACTCTGCCTCAAATAAATAAATGAATCTTTAAAAAAAGAGAGAGATAAGAGCCTTTCCCAAATAGTCCTGTGGCGTCCAGGCGGCCTCAAGCAGCTGAGCAGGGCTACACAGTGAACAGCCAGAGGCCTCTGCACTGTGAAGATGCTATGTTTTGTTTTGTTTTGGGTTTTGTGTGTGTGTGTGTGTTTGCAGCACCACTGCCCCTAGGCACAAGTAGAGGAGAGGTCTGTAAGGTGACATGAGGGAAGAGCCAGCCAAGGCTGTGGATTCAGGAAATGTGAAATGATTCTTGTAAATGGGAACCTGGAACTTTCTGGGAACTCCTTATGGGCACTGCCCTATTTCCTATTTCTTGAATTAGCCATGTTGCAATGACTTGTGAAGTTAACATTTAGAAGATGGTTTAACAAGGCAGAGATGGGCCTTGTTTAAAAAAAAAAAGAAAGCCTTCCTGAGTCCTGTTGAGTCCTTTGTAACCTTTGTAGAAATACAGTTACAACTGCAAGTTGGAGGCATTGGGAATAACCATAATGTCATTTCTAACCAGGGCTCCATGGATTTGTGTAAGGGCGTCCATGAACTTTTAAAAATTATGTACAAAATCGTGCATATGCATGTAGCATTTTCTTGGAAGGGTAGGGCATGGAGGAAGGAGGGAGGTTCCATAGCTTTTATCAGTGCTCAAAGAGGGATGAATCCAGAAATGATTAAGAACTATTGAGTTGGGGCCGGCGCTGTGGTGCAGGGGGTTAAAGCCCTGGCCTGAAGCGCTGGTATCCCATATGGGCGTCGATTCTAGTCCCAGCTGCTCCACTTCCTGGCCAGCTCTCTGCTATGGCCTGGAAAAGCAGTAGAGGATGACCCAAGACCTTGGGCCCCTATACCCATATGGGAGACTCAGAAGAAGCTCCTGGCTCCTGGCTTCAGATCGGCACAGCTCCGGCTGTTGCGGCCATCTGGGGAGTGAACCAGCAGATGGAAGACCTCTCTCTCTGTCTCTACCTTTCTCTGTAACTCTGCCTTTCAAATAAATAAAATAAATCTTAAAAAAATAAATTGGCCGGCACCACGGCTCACTAGGCTAATCCTCCGCCTTGCGGTGCCAGCACACCGGGTTCTAGTCCCGGGTGGGGCGCTGGATTCTGTCCCGGTGGCCCCTCTTCCAGGCCAGCTCTCTGCTGTGGCCAGAGAGTGCAGTGGAAGATGGCCCAAGTCCTTGGGCCCTGCACCCCATGGGAGACCAGGAGAAGTACCTGGCTCCTGTCATCGGATCAGCGCGGTGCGCCGGCTGCGGCGGCCATTGGAGGGTGAACCAACGGCAAAGGAAGACCTTTCTCTGTGTGTCTCTCTCTCACTGTCCACTCTGCCTGTCAAAAAAAAATTTTTTTAATTAATTAATTTTAAAAAAACTAATGAGTTGTATGAGAGCTCTTCAACGCGAGCCAGACACGTGTGTGCTCTGAACTTGGGGATGGGGTAATGACACCTGGCTTGTAGAACAGGTCATCACGTTGTGCTGAAACGTGAAGCTAGAAGGCTCTTGGACCCGTCAGGGAAACCAAATTTAATGATCCGGTTGCTTTTCATCATTGCTTCAGTAACTGAACAGCACCTCATCTAAGAAATAAGTGCTCCCCAAGCTGAGCCAAGGAGGTCGACGGGCTTGGTAGGAAAAGGCTGAAGAAAGCAAAAACAAGGACGAGGAAGTGATTGGTCATTTCAGAGCTGCTTTCATGGATTAAAGGAGAAGCACCTTCTTATCAGGCTGCTCAGGTTGGTGGGCCCTTTGGATGATGTGAACTGTGAACCTCTGAGTTCTTTCGTCTTTTGAACTTGCCCATTTTAAAGCTGTTTGATCACGTGGCACCTAGCCCAAGTGACTCCACTCTGGGTTGGTCTGATCTTGTGGGGCTGCTGCAGGAGCTCAGTACAGAGTAATGGCCTCCCGCAAACTTTATTTAACAGGACATATCCAGTTTAAGCTCCCTTTTTTCTCTTGGAATAGTGCTATAGGTTGTTTTGTAGCTTCCTTATAGGGTCACAGCCTGAAGCGTAGCGAGTCACAAAGTCACAGGGATCTTCAGGCTGGCCTCTGCTCTCTCTCTTCCAAGGTGCCCTAACTAAACCGATCTCCCTGAGTTAAGAACAGCCCATTCTGCAGCTTGCTGGACGAGTGGCAGCGGCCTTACAGCACAGACATGGAAGGCGGGAACAGACTCAACTCCCTCCTCACCAATGAGCAAGACTCTCAGGCTGGGAAAGCAGTTGTCGAATGTTCTGAATGTTCACAGTGGGCGGGCTCAGGAGGCCTCAGGACGGGGAAGCAGCCAATAAGCTGGCCTCGGGCAGTCTTAAGCAAATCCAAGCTGGCTCTGGCATTGTGGAATGCCACAAAGTTACTTAATCCCTTGTTTGCACTTTTAATGAATTGTCTTTTTTTTTAACTTCTTTACTCATTTTTGCATATTTATGACTTCATGAAATATTTTTTATTTTTATTTATTTGTTTGTTCATTTGTTTATTGAAGGCAGAGTTACAAAGAGGCAGACACAGAGGCAGAGAGAGGTCTTCCATCGGCTGTTTCACTCCCCATATGGCCGCAACGGCCAGAGCTGCGCTGATCTGAAACAGGAACCAGGAGCTTCTTCCCAGTCTCCCATGCGGGTGCGGGGGCCCAAGGACATAGACCATCCTCTACTGCTTTCCCGGGCCTTAGCAGAGAGCTGGACCGCAAGTGAAGCAGCTGGGACTCGAAACGGCTCTGACATGGGATGCTGGCACTGCAGGCGATATCTTTCACCTGCTGCGCCACAGTGCCACCCCCCAGTAAATCTTTAAACAAGTGTAATTTTAATTAAAAATATAAGCATACCATATAATAAGAATTTTATACATAGTACAGTAAATAAAGAGAAAATTCCTTCCTCTCTGAAAAACTAGAAGTCCTCCTAGGGTTTTTTCTTTCCAGAAAATATGTATGCCCTTGAAAAAACATACAAATGAGGTCCCATGGGGCATGGGTTCACAGTTGGGCGTCTGGCACTTATCCGCCGCATTCTTTTCAGTGTTGCACTGCTGTTGGTTATGAATGGCCACCCAGGGCATTTAGATGAGTTCTCCCTTGGGGCATTCCTGCCACTGCTGTTCATAGACCTCATATATGGAGCGTATTGTGTGAGTGTCCTGTAAAGTCAGTCTGCTGGAGTGGGAATTTGTGCAGTTTGGTAGAAACACCTGACTTACAATGGCTCAATGTACAATCTTTGACCTTCCGCCCATGGGAAAGCAATAGGCAATGGCAGTTTGAATTTTGATCTTTTCCTGGGCCAGCTTTACGCAGGAGGATCTGCTCCCACGATGTTGGACAGCCGCGCCATCATGCAGGCAACAACCCTGCAGTACCGCGTCACCCTGCTCTGAAGTCGGGTGGGTCAGGTGTATGAAATGCACGTTCCACTTCGGCAATTTCCAACCTACAGTGAGTTTCTCAGGCTGTAACCCCTCGTAGTCAAGGAGTGTCTGTACTATGAAGTTTTCTTTAAAGGTTGCATAGATTCTTATTACTTTTTTTAATTAATTTATTTATTTGAAAGAGTCACACAGAGAAGGAGAGGCAGAGAGATAGAGAGAGGTCTTCCATCCAATGGTTCACTCCCCAATTGGCCACAATGGCCGGAACTGCGCCGATCTGAAGCCAGGAGCCAGGAGCTTCCTCCAGGTCTCCCACGTGGGTGCAGGGGCCCAAGGGCTTGGACCATCCTCCACTGCTTTCCCAGGCCGTAGCAGAGAGCTGGATTGGAAATGGAGCAGCCGGGACTAGAACTGGTGCCCATATGGGATGCCGGCGCTTCAGGCCAGGGTGTTAACGCGCTGCTCCACAGCGCCAGTTCCTAGATTCTTGTTACTTTCACAACAGTTTATGAGAGTACCTATTTAACCCCACCCTCAATAGTAAAATTTGCTGGTTTGTTTTGACTTCTTTTATTGTAAATTAGGAAGAACATAGGTTTATTTTAAAATAAATACTTGATTTTAAGAGCCCCCCCCCATTAAAGCACGTTGTGTTACCTCTTTCTTACGCTTTGGATGTGTTCTCTAGAAAGTCATCTTCCTAAATTGTGTAATAAATAAAATATGTGGGTGGGGACGAGGACGATCAAGTTTTCTAGTAAGTTTGTTCCTTCTAGTCCTCGGTACCTGGGGTTGAGCTAGTATTGCAGCCGATTCCTCCATCTCTCTGCCTTGGCAAGGTCTTCTGTAATCGTTTTAATCATTTGATCAGTAGTTTTTTTCAAAACGCTTGCCGTCTTTAGGGCATGATCCAAAGCTGCGCTTAAAATCTACAGAGGAAAAGTCCACACATTTTAGTTACATAAGTTTACCACTATTTCTGTTCATTGTGTTCTCTCGTTATTAAACATTGCCAGGTGGAATTTTTGGAGTAGGCTTTTTCCCATAGTTTATTTCTGTGTTTCAGGGCTGGTTTCCTAGGGAACCAGCCTCAGATGGAATATATTTGTTAGGGAAAGGAACAGAGAAAAGAGCAACACGTGACTGATGAGCGAGGGCGAGGTCAGCAACCTGCCGGGCTGTCTCCCTGCTGCAGAGAAAGAGAAAAACAAGGAAAGCTCTTAGGGGGCGTCACCATGGAGAGGGGACCCCCAGGATCTGCGCATGCGTGTGTGTGTGTGTGTGTGTGTGTGTGTGTACACGCGCTCACACTGGAAAGTGGCCTGGGGATTCGAGTTAATGATTTGAAAACAGGAAACTGCTCGCAGCCCTAACCACAGGGTCACTGGCACAGATTCCAGTGCCTTCCACCCGGGCCGGGGGAATCCCCGTAGCTGAGGCCCCCCACCTGCAAAACACTTTCTCCAGGAAATTTCCCTTGCCATCCACTGAGGAGTCTTTCAAACCCTGTGGCTGCGGAGTCCGTGACTTTGGGTGTTTGCGGAACACAAAATCGGCTTTAGCAGCGCCTTTTCTGCACCCCTGCCCGGTGGTAACTTCCAAGCATCCGCCCTGTGCTCATCAACACCCAACTTCCTGGCTGCAAGGCCCGGGCAGCTTCCCCCGCGTGCTCACCCTAGATTCCGTTTGCTCAGCCACGTTAAGGTCACCCAGGGATTTGCTCGCAGAGATCCTGCAGCGCTGGAAAGGGCGAGAGGGCGATGCCGGGGCCGGGCTGGAGGCTGTGGGGCTCTGAACATTTTTTCTGGAAGGCAAAAGCACGTGGGTCCTGAGGCGAGCTCGGGGCAGCTTCCAGCGCGGCGTGGGGGCCGGGGCTCTGCCACCTCGGGTGGCTGTCGCGGTCGCCGCCGATGGCTGACCACAGCTGGAAAGGTGGCTGCTGTGACCACGGCACCATTTCCTCCTGCAGTTTGCCCCTTTTTTTACTTCGGTACAGACAGAGGCAAGACTCCCAAGAGATTTTTATTCCGTTTTCCTTCTTTTGGACTACCCTTCTGCTCTGCAAATCTATGAAAGCAAATATATACACAAAACTGCCGGTTGCAGACACGCCGGGATGAGTTCATTCTAGCACCAGTGAGCTTAGATCGCCAAGAGGTGGAGCAATTAAAAAAAAAAAGCAGCACCCTTCTAAGGGGGAGAGCTATACCACTGCAGGGAAGTCCTGTCCCTGAGGGATGGCCCTAAGCGTGCACCAGCTGAGCAAGGGCTGCCAGGGCCAGGGTGTTGTTCAGGTTGTGCACTGTGTAGCTCTCGGAGAGTTCTTTCACACAGTCCATGGGAAGGGCACTGCTGGGAATTATTTTACAACCTTGAGTGGTGGCCCTAAAGGATGACACACACACCACCAAAAAACCCGCGATCTATGCCCCAGACACTATCCTAGGCTCTAGCCCCTCCCCCCTCCACAATTGCTGGAAGCCAGGTGACCACATGGCCCAACCACATGTGTCAGCTCCACCCCCACCCTAATGGGATTCGCTGCTCCTGCTTCCCTGCCCATCCGACCCTCGGCAAAGTTTTAAGAGGACCTGTTCTTGAACACATCTCTCTCTCTCTCTCTCTCTCTCTCTCTCTCTTTCTGTGTGTGTGTGTGTGTGTCTCGATCGATCTCTCTTGCACTCTCCTCTCTCTCTCTTTTTCCTTCTTTGCCCCTTCCCTCCGGCCTGTCGGATTCCCCCACCGATAAACCCTTTCCCTTAATAAATACATAATAAAGGATGCCGCAGGCACCTGCCATCGGATGGCAGCTCTGTCATGGCGCCACCCCACACCGCCGCCAGCTTTGAGACTCCCTCTGTCAAGCAGTACTTCCCTGGCACTTACAGCGCGTGTCAGCCATCTCATCTCCAGAAGGTTCCACTTCAAAGCTTGCGTCCCCAGAGCCTGCCTTCATCCCTGTCCCCCACCATATGAACATGCGCTGGTCCTGCAGCCTGGTGTAACACATGGGCTCTGTCCTCCAGGTCAGAGGTGACTCAGCATGAGTCATGATGAAAACTTCCAGGCAGGGAGGGGCAGTGTGGTGCAGTGGGAAGCGCATGGACCTCACAATCCCCTCCCCCCATATCCAGTTGGCCACCACTTTCCACAGTACTAGCAACAGCTACCACTTGCTGAGTGCTGACCACGAGCTGGGTGCCGTTGCAAGTACTTTATGTGCACTGACTCAGTCCCCCGTGGGTTTGGTGCAGTTACTGTCCCCATTTTACATACAGAGGCGTGGAGGCACAGAGAGGACACAGCCCCAAGATGTAAGTCCCCAAAGGTCGCTGTGCTGTGGGTTCAGACTGAGTGGGTCTGATTACAGATCCTGGCTCCTGGCCATTGCGCTGTGCTGTTGGTTCTGCCTGTTGAACAGCCCTCCAGCGCCCAGACCTCTCTCCGTCTCGGCCGCCCTCAGCCATGCTACCGTTGTCCCGCCTGGATTATCGCACTGGCTGCTGCTTTGGCCTCAGTGCTCCATCTTTGATTGCTCTGCTCCAGTCCGCCTCTCTCAGTAGCTACAGTGATCTTGTAAAACACTTAAAAATTTTTTTAAAATCAACTCCCTGGTTAACTTCATCGGCTTCCCGGGGTTCCCCGGAGTCTGAACTCCGTCCCATGGCTGGCGTGCCTCTGTGTAACCTGGCTCTGCCTGCCCCACAGGTCTTGCGTCCCGAGACCCATCTCGCCCCTACCACTGCCTCTTCTGCGCTCCAGCCACATACCTCTGCACTTGCCAAGGGCCTTCCCACGGCGGGTGGCCGTCTTAGGTCCGTTCTTCACTCCTTGTGGGCCCCTGCTGGTTCATTCACTCTTAACCGGTGAGAGCTTCCTGCCCCCACCCCACGTCCCCATTCTTGGCTCTTACAGAATTGTCTGGCTCCTCAGCACCTAGTATCGGGCCCTGCTTTTGACATGTGAATGAAGTATGCGATAGGCTCAGGTTTGAATCCAGGCCCTCTTACTTATGATGCTCTTTTACAGAAACGCGTCCTAGGACCCAACCAGTGATGGCTGGTTTCGTTCTTGGGAGTGAATGGTAACATAATACTTACTTTCCTGGTGTGGGCTCCTGTTCATCTGGAAGGGATTTTGAATTCACTTTCTGGGAACAGATCCACTTGGGTCTCGAGCAAGCTGAAAAATGTTCACTCTGATTAAATTCAGAACATCAGAAATGATCCCCAAATGGCGGACAGGTACAAGCAGGCATCCCTGCCGAGCTTTTCAGCATGAATGAAACGATTCATGAAATGTTTACACACATGTAAGTAAGAAAGGTAGAGAACACAGAAAACAAGGAACCGTCTAGCATGTACGTAATCTGAATTCAGGAAAAGAAATTCAACTTTTAAAAGGAGTTTTATCAGCAGACCAAACAGCAGGAGTTTGCTGGGTGCTTGCTGTGTGACCTGGGCATGCCGTCCTCAGGTCTCTGAGCACAATGCTTCACCTGGTAACAGGAGGATAAGCGCTTCCAAGAGGTTGGGCCAGATGCATTCCTGAAATCCTCTCCAACTTCAGAGCAAGAGTGCTAGGAGTCAGAAATTAATGTTGTTGCTAAGACAAATACAGAGAATAGAGACTAAACAGAGAAGAGAAATGGGAGGAGTCACCCGGGAAGGCAGGAAAGGAGGGGAGCCGAGTCCTGCCCAGCAAACCTGCCTGCTCTGTCACTGAGGCCCCCTTGTGCCCTGCCCCGGGCCTGTCGTCCTCCGTCCCCCGTCCAGGGCTCCTAGCTTCCTCAGGAGGATCCCGTCAGACGAGGGAACCTGGGGGGAGATTGCCAGGCTCAACCACGCTGACGCCAACGTGAGTCCTGATGCACAGGGCCCTGAGGAGCGCAGCCTTGATTCTTCAGCGGTCTCCAGATAGAACTGTGCATTTTATTGGCTGCACAGAAGCTCCGCGTCAGATCGGAACTGGGGGTAGGTCACGTGACCCAGTTCTAGCCCATTCTTCAAGTCTACAACATCCAGCACAGTGCACTCTCCCCTAGTCTGCAGATGGAGCTCTGGCTTCCCCTGACAGCCCACCCTGTCAGCTCGTTACCAGAAGGGTCTTTTTGAACACTGAGGAAAAGCTCCACTAGATGTTTGCCAATGGAGGTCAAGATCGCATTTCACCTGAGTCGGCTGGCAGTTAGTCGTTATGTGTGTATTGGAGGAACAGGTGCACCAGGTGTAGACCCAGGGACCATGAGATAGTAAAGAAACCTGCCCTGTGGCTTCTGGGAGCCTTAGCGACTGTCCCTTTAAGAGAGCATCTACTCAGAGGATTTAGCAGCTGGCAGTGGGGGGAGAGGCACGGCAGAGCGAGTCAGGCAAATGAGTCTCTTCAGCTAAGATAAAGAACCTTCTCCTTCCTGTTCCCGTGGCACACTTGACCTTGCTGTTCGCACTGACCACGTTTTGCCCTGAATTTTTCTTGTTTGGATTCGAGTTCCTGTCTCTCAAGTGATGTGAAACTCCTTGGGAACCAGAAGCTATGTCTTACTCATCTTTATAAATAAATGCTGGTCAGGGTTAAGCCACAGCCCACAACACCAGCATCCCACAGGGCACGGATTTGAGTCCCGGCTGCTCTACTTCTGATCCAGCTCCCTGCTAATGTGCCAGGAAGAGCAGCGGAGGATGGCCCAAGTGCTTGGGCCCCTGCACCCATGTGGAGGGTGGAGTTCCTGGCTCCTGGCGTCAGCCTGGCCCAGCCCTGGCCGCTGCGGCCATTTGAGGAGTGAACCAGAGAAGAGACAGATCTTCCCCCAGTCCTGTATCCCTAGGATTTCCAATTCCCGCCTGCCATCCAGGGGCAGGGCTGGCTTTGCAAGCATCATGTGAGTGCAGGAGGCCTGGGCAGCAGATGGGGAGGACAGGGCTCTCCATGTGGAAGTGGGGACCACTGTCTCGTGTGCCCCCCTTACTCCTGGGAGACTGTGGCCAACCCAGGAGGGACCCGGCAGGGGAGGTACTCACGAGATGCCGAGCGGGGCTGGGCAAAGGCACTTCTTTCACTGTGACTTATGTCGTTCTGTCCCGGGCTGTTGTATCTATAACGGAATTCTAAAGACACAAAAATTATAGAAGCCACTGTCCACCGCTGGGAACCACAGAGCTGTCCACTCTCACGCTCAGCCCAGGCCCCGCCCAGTCCGACTCACCTTTCGGTGGCTTTCTGGGACTCTTGGAGCCGCCGCCCTCATGTTTGTTGCTATGCAGCCCAGCAATAGACTCAGAACAGAAGCTGGGTCCTGTAACCGAACCCCAAGAAGCCCAAGTCACACAAAGCAAGCATGCGCGTCTCGTTATAGTCGGAAGAGCGGGTATGGAGAGCAGGGTTCTAACGGTGCCGGGTGGCAATTAAGCACATTCAGAGTGTCCAGTTCCCTGGCTGTGCTACGGAGGGGAGGTGCCAGCTTGGGGTGACACCGGGATCCTCATCTGATGACGGAGAGGTGTGTCCATAGGTAACAGCTCTGATGTGAACACATACCAGTGCTGGGCGGAGGCCTGCTGAATGCGTGATCTGGGAGAGTCCAGCCACTAGACTATGAGACAGTCTGGCACTGGTAGTTGTTTCTGCCTGGATAGAGCCACATTGTCTCTCTCCGACTTTGCTGTGGCCAAGAGCTTTGGTTTCACCATCAGGCAACTGAAAACCTAGTTTCCCTCCATGTGACACTCATAAGCCCGTACAGGAAGCCGAGCACAGCTCTGTCCACAAAGCCTCCAAGAGGCTGGTGGCCGAGAGCAAGCGTGCTGGTACAGGTCCAGGCTCGGCCGGGCAGGCCCCGGGCTGTGAGGTGCTCCAGCGGAGGCCAGAGTGTGGGAGCTCAGGGCAGGCGAGAGGGCAAGGACGAACCGGAACTGGAATGAACTAAGGAGAAGCCTGCATCTGCCGCTTACGGGCTGGGCTGGTTGGAAACATGTCCAGAAATTCTGTGACACTCTCTTCAAAAGGTGAATGTGGGCTGGATTTAGTGGCTCACTTCTAACACATAGAATAGAGCTGTAGGGATGATGGCGTCCACCTCCCAAACTAGCCCATAAAAGACAATGAAGCTTCCATCTCTCTCTCTCCCTCCCTCTCTCTCTCTCGCTCTCTGATCACTGGCTCTGGGGGGAGCTGACTGCTTATAGGAGAGGCCCACACGGCAAGGAGCCTCTTGCGAGTGGCCATGTGAGTGAGCCATCTTGGAAGCAGCCCCTCCAGCGCCAGCCAAGCTTTGAGGGGACCACGGCCTTGGCCAACATGTTGACTGCAATGTCAGGAGACGCCCCACGCCTGGACCACCCAGCAAATTGCTCCCAGATTCCTGACCCACAGAAACAGAGAAAAATGAATGTCCACTGTTTTGGACCCTGAGTTCTGGGACAATTTACTCCCCTACAACAGATAACTAAGCCACGGGTTCTTTGGCCCCAACAAGTCTCTTCATTTCTCTGTGCCTTCATTTTGTTATTATTAAATACACTTAATAATTCCTACCTTACAGGAGTGTTAAATGATACACACTATGTTGATAGTTCTCTAACTTTGGATTTCAGACCCCTCTTATTTTCTTAAAATTGAGGACCTGAAAGAGCTTTGGATTACGTGATCTTCACCTACCATACAGCATAATATATTCCACTTTCTATCCCTGAGGGGATACCTGCGCTGGAGAGCTGTCCTACGTCACCCCGCCAGCTAGCGAGGGGTTGGTAGAGAAATGCTGATCTAGAAATCACAACTAGTTTTCGCTTGTGCAGAATCATTCAGATCTTCCTGAGACAAGGATGGGCAACTCTGAGGTTTCATTTTGTTTTGTTTTTAGGATTTTTAACTGAGACATTTCTAAAATATTTTATTATATCACTTAAAATAACAGATCCACTTTATGTTAACACAATATCATGTTCTTAATGAAACCTCTATTTTTCAAAGCAAAAAAAAAAAAAACAACTAGTGTGAAGAGTGGCACTGTTTGATGTTTCGGCAAATGTCTTGCATGCCTGGCTTCATAGCAGATCCCTGGATTCTGTAGCTGCATCTCCACCAACCTGCTGCATGGCTGGCCTCGCGCAAACAGACAGCTGGAAAAGGGGGGGGGTCTCACGGAACCCCAGGGGACTCTGGCCTCACTTTGCAACATCTGACTTTGTGAGGGCCTCTGGCGAAATCAGTGCCTGACCATGCAGCCTATCACGATGATGAGGAGGATTTGAACCATCACCTGCGGAGCAGCCAGTGTGGCATTACAGGTGCCGTAACAGCGGGAGTCGGCCCCGGTGCCAGGTCTGCACCCCTGGTTCCCCACGGATAAGCTGGAGCTTGGGCTAGCGCAATGCTGAAGCTCAGGGCGACTCCCCCTCCTCCCACCTCTTCTTCACCTCCAGAGGTTCTGCCAGGGGAGCGGCTCCTCTGCTTCTACTTCTTAGGAGAAGGGATCTTGCAAGTGCAAGTCACTGAATTCCATACACTGGTGCTGCCCCGTCTCCTCCCATCTCTTCCTTTCTTCTGTGAAACACGGAGGGCCAAGCCGGCAACGCTCACATGGCCGATGACCCCACCAGCTCAGGGTGAGCCGTATGGGAAGGATATGGATGGAAAAACTTGAGGACTGAGGACCTATAGATGTGCAAGTGAGCCCGGGGAGTCCATGAGCCCGGCTAGGGCTGGAGGTTGGCACTGCACTGCACCTGACGTCATCTTTCTAAATCTATTCAACTGATTGTTTACATGTGGCATTAAAGAAGACAATGCACAGCACCCTCGTCTAGGGCAATGCTTTTGTTGGACCGCTAGCAAGCTGGTCTGCTGAGAGCAGACCCCAAGGAGAGGGAGCTGAAACCTGGGCACCCACAGCACGGGACCCTCAACTTACTGAGAGCTGAGTCTGGGTGCAGGGCCTTTTCCTGAATGACGGCAGAAAATCTCCCACAGTTGAATCTTCGGTGGCTTTTTTTCTCCATCTTTTGCTTCCTAGGAAAGGTACATAAGAGCCCATGAACTCTAAGTACAGTTTAACTGGAGATATGGGATGTACTGGTACAACCGAAGTGTTACATTTCGGAATCAGAGCCCTGAGCCACGTAGGCGTGGCTTGCAGGTGTCTCCCTCCCCGTCCCCCCACCCCGCCTGCTGGAGAGCTTCCTTGCTGACACTGGCACCAGCACAGTTTGGCCTTGTAAGAACATATCTACAAAGCGTTAAAAATAGACGCTTGATTCCACAGAGAACAGCTCATCATCATACACCTGGACACAAAATAGAAACTTGCAACACGGAATTATCGAAGTTGGAGCGCTTCCCATATTCATAATTCAAAATCAGTTCTGATCAGGGGGAGAAGCCGTGTGACCCAGCAGCACTGGGTCACGTGGCTCTGCCTCTATCAGCGCAAGCTGAGTGTGTGCGAAGCCTGGCGTCCGGCCGGGAAGTGTGTGGGGTTAATAGCGGATTCAGGCCACCAGGGGGCATCAGGAAGAAGCAACTGCACTGGCTTTTAGGAGACTTTTTGTGTCCGCAGCCTCCCGCCCGCGCTGACGTAAAGCCTAACTCCTTCAAAGGATCCATTCAAACACTTCCCAACAAAGCTTCTGCTCGGCCTCTGGGCTGCAGCAGGAGCCCCAGGGAACACTGCGCATTCTCGGAGTGGAGGGCCCCGTGCCCGAGAGACCCTGGCACGAACGAGCCTGACGCAGTGCTGGGCAAAGGCGCACTTGTCCGACTGTGCCCAGGCCTGTTGCTGGCGGGGGTGGGGGCAGGGCTTGGGGCTCAAGGGTGGGGGTGCTGAGAAGCCAGGCCCCTTCCCCCGTCCTGGAACGACATGCCGTCCGCCTGACTCACGTTTTTCCTCACACCTCATCTTCTGTTCCCACCCTGTGCCTCTGGGTCAGCTGAACGTCTACTCTGCAGCTCGGAGCCCTCGGAACGCACTCCAGCGAGCGCAACCCAACACGTGACCAGGCTCCTGCTGCTTCTTTTAAGCTCCTTGGTGCACTAAAATAACTGCCAATGGCGATCCTGCGGGAGCAGTTTTCAAGGGGCCAAAGCAGCTACAGGGTGCTCTTAAATCCAGCGCCTTGCGTCAGAAGTTTCATCGAGGGATAAGCATTTGACCATCAGCGTGCGCTGCGATTGACCCACACAAAGGCAACGATTTGCAAATACCCTGAAACCGGTGCCTACATCAGCAAGCAAATCCTATGGGAGAGATTTAATCCTGGGGGAGTAGACAGCCCTCCCTTAAGGACTATCTCCTCAAGGATTATGTCTTTGGGAAGATTTCAGTGCCTAAGTCCCCCTATCTCCTGCTCCCTCGGCAGCAATGGATTCCCTGCCAGACCTGACCTCACACCCGGCGCTGCCTTCCTGTCCAGCTTGGCCTTCGCCAAGGAACACATTCGGTCTGGAACGCTGGGCCCGGCGTGGGTACTTACGTGGCTCAGTGGGGTCCAGCCCAGGGAGTTTGGAAGAGAAACATTCAGTTCCCCGAATGCTTTTTGTGTGTCAGAACACTTGTGTTACACTTACTAAAACACTAAAAGTCTCCACACTAAGTGAACGGAGGGAGGCTGGGTGACTCGGTGGGCAAGGGTCATTAGCGTGTCCCTGTCATTCACGGAAAACTCAGCACTGACGACTGACAGGGTGGTTTAACGGAGTGCTCCCCACCAGATGACAGGGGAATTTTTAGCACAAACTCCACACTGTTTCTTTTTTTAGGAGTGGAAAGGCCATAGAAGGCTTAGGACGGGTGCCCATCCCCGTGATGGAGCACCTTCTAACAGGAAGCTTCGGTCTCTCCCACTCTGCCACCTGCTTCTGTTAGAGACCATTCTGTACAAACAACAGCGCCTCCCTCCCGGCTCTGCCCTTCTAAAGTTCAGTGAGCCAAGCCTCGGCCGCAGGCCACAGTGAGCTGCAAGGTGGTGCCTCTTGCTAACTCAAGAGGAGCTGCAAACTAGTGATCACCAATTCACTCAGGCTAACAGTTGATCCAATGGGAGTTTCAAAGGCGTAAAGAATTTCTCCTGGGGCTGGCACTGTGGCATACTGGGTAAAGCCCCGTCCTGCTGTGCTGGCACCCCATATGGGCACCGATTTGAGTCCCAGCTGCTCTACTTCTGATCCAGCTCCCAGCTAATGCGCGGGAAAGCAGTGGAGGATGGCCCAAGTCCTTGGGCCCCTGCATTCATGTGGGAGGCCTGGAAGAAGCTCCTAGCTTCAGTTGTGGCCATTTGGGGAAAGGGTCAGTAGATGGAAGATCTCTCTCTCTCTCTCTCTCTCTCTCTCTCCCTCTGTCTCTCAAACTCTGCCTTTCATACAAATAAACAAATCTTTAGCAAATAAAAGAATTTCTTCTTAGGATTTGATATGATGTCGTTTGCTGGGGTGGGAACATGGCTTGCTTAGGAAGGGGGAGAGGGGTGAGGCTTGTTCCCAGCGGGACAGGCAGGGGCAGGTGACACAGCCAGGGCAGACTTCTGCGAGCCCTCAGGGGACAGCGGGGAGGATGAGAGCCACAGCTCAGCCCCAGCTGGGTCAGTGGTGCCCACAGTCACGGCAGTCATCACACCCGCCGGACCTCCCCCCAGCCTGGGACTGCAGCAGCAGCGAGAGCCCTCACCATTCAACCAGGCGGCGGCGGCAGAAGGCGCATCTGGAGCTGAACACCGCTGTCTCTGCTCGCTCCTGCCTCCCCGAGGGGCCGCTTCGGTCCTCCTGCACCACAGAGCACACAGAGATGGGGACGTGGTGACACAGGGCGCGACTCACCGCGGATGCACAGGCACCAAGCTCGGCCTGGTCAGGCCCCTCTCACAGGTGGGGAACAGGCAGAGGAAGGACAGGTGCCCACCCCTACCTCTGCCCCGCCCTCGGTGAGACCCGGCCTCCCTCCCATGGCCTGGGGCTTGGAGACAGGAAGTTTCAATGCCCCTGCTGGTTTCTCCCCTTCTCTTTTACAATCTGGGGTACAGATGAGAGAATACTTTCCCCTTTTATTCTTTCCTTTAGTTTCACGTTACCCCAAGTTCCACAAGCAGACGAGCAGTTAGGAAATGACTGGTTAAATCCATCAACCTGCCCAGCGAACTGGACCAGGAATTCAAGGTTGGGGACAGTCTTTCTTGAGACCTCTGTGATGGATTCCATGCCCCTTTCAACACAAAGCGCTCACCCCACTGTGGTGCATTTCTGACCGTGGCCTTACACTTCTAGAAGCAGAAAGTCAGTGGGCTTTTCCCACCACCATAAACAATGCTGGCACAAGCATCGCGGGACACACAGCTTTTTCCACATGTTGAATTACTTCCTGAGGAAGCATCCAGACCAAAGGCTGGGACGTGCTTGTGTGATGACACACAGCGCCTAGCTACTTTCCACAAAAGCTGTGTGGATCACACGGCCACCGACAGTGTGGATGGCTCAGGTGTGGCACACCTTCCTTGGCATGGGGAACTGCCACTTGAAATGCTTCTGTTCATTTTGGGGGGCCACTTTCTGCTAGTTAGCACTTCCAGTGCTATTAAAAGGATATGAGGGGGGGCCGGCACTGTGGCATTGCAGGTAAAGCCACCACCTGCAGTCCCGGCTGCTCCACTTCTGAACCAGCACTCTGCTACGGCCTAGGAAAGCAGTGGAAGATGGCCCAAGTCCTTGGGCCCCTGAACCGGCATAGGAGACCCAGAGAAAGCTCCTGGCTCCTGGCTTTGGTTCGGCGCAGCTCTGGCCATTGCGGCCATCTGGGGAGTGAACCAGTAGATGGAAGACCGTTCTCTCTCTCATTCTCTCTCTCTCTCTCTCTCTCTCTCTCTCTCTCTCTGCCTCTGCCCCTCTATAACTCTACCTTTCAAATAAACAAATCTTAAAAAAAAAAAAGGAGATAAGCATTGCCTCACTATTTATTTCTCATATGCTGTATTTTCTACTTGGGCTTTTAGTTCATATCCTCTATCCATTTTTTTTTTTTTGAGATTTCAGCATTTTCTTATTCATTATGCACCTGATGTTTCTCATTTAGTCTTTATTGCTTCCCACTATCCTGGCACTTACCTCATTTTAGCAATGAGTAACCCAAGGCTCAGCGAATTTAAGCAACAAGACAAGGTCACATGGAGAGGAAGTGGCAGAGCTGGGATCTGAACCTTCACCCCCACACGCTTGTGTTCTTACCCACAATTCCACTCCTCTGTGCTTTTGTCAGAGCACTTGGCAGAATACATGTCTCAACACTGAACATTCATTGGTCTTAATATTTTCCCCGTTGTCTGCCTTTCAAAAAATTGACTGTCAGGGCCAGTGTTGTGGCGTAGTGGGTTAAGCTGCCGCCTGCAGTGCTGGCATCCCATATGGGTGCCAGTTCAAGTCCAGGCTGCCCCACTTTCAATCCAGCTCTCTGCTATGGCCTGGGAATGCAGTAGAAGATGGCCCAAGTGCTCGCGCCCTTGCACCTGTGTGGGAGACCTGGAAGAAGCTCCTGGCTCCTGGCTTTGGCTTGGCCTAGCCCTGGCCATTGTGGCCATCTGGGGAGTGAACCAGTGGATGGAAGACCTCTCTCTCTCTCTCTCTCTCTCTCTGCCTCTCTGTAACTCTGCTTTTCCAATAAATAAATAAATCTTTAAACAAACTGACTGTGGGTTCCCATTTTGCAAATATAAATTAAATGTTGATGTTCTCAGAGAAGGGGTGCAAACAGCCAAGGAACAGATGAAAATAAATAATCCAGCACAGATTAAAACAATGGGATTCCAGTTTTCACTTATTATTTTAACAAAGGTTGCTAAGAAATAAACATTATCGGGGGTGCTAACATTCCCCAGGCTCTGTGGTGGGCCTTCACCCTGCAGCCACCTTTCTAAAGGCTGGTTCATCAGAACTTTCAAAGCACACTGTCTGAACCACTAACAGCAATCCTTGGTTTTTATTCTACAGAAATCATCAACTATGAACAAAAGTTTGCATATGAAACGATGCTGCCTGAAACCAGGTTTATAATATCAAAGAAATGGCAAAAAAAAAAAAAAGTCTCACTAAGGGGACTATTTAAATGCATCGGGGTACATCCATGTAATAAAATATGATGCAGTCATTAAAAAGGAAGCTAGAAATTTATTCTAAAGGTTGTAAACAGCTGCTTACAATATAATGTTAAGCAAAAAAGCAGGTCATAAAATGTATAGGATGATCCCATTTTTGCAAAAATCTGTGTGCAAGGAAAAAAAAAAAGCCTGGAAGGATGTACACTAAAATATTAGCGATGATTATTCTCCGGTGAAATTTTCTTCTATTTCCTGATTTCTTTTTCAATAAGTATATGATACTTTTATAATTTTGAAAATAAAGGGTGTTTTACTCCCTCCCTTTTCCCCATGTTTTCTTTCGTCACTGCTAAGCCAACGGGGTCATCTATGCCTGTGACATTTAAGGCAGACTGACATCAGCTGCCCTCCTCAAAGTTAGGAGCCTTGGGCCTTAGCATCTCCCATCACTTGCTCCAGTCTCACTTTTCTAAGCCACTCGTCTGCAAAAGTCTTTGCAAACTGTCAAGCTCTGAACCCACAGAACTATTACATTACCGTTTACTGCTTATTTTAATATTGATATCATTTTAGACCTAGGAGGTTGCAATGCTACTACTTTCAATATATTCATAATGAAATCATCTCTAGGCTCTTACTGCTCAAAGCCTCATGCCAGGGCCTGAACGCAGTCGGCACCCCCGGGGTGCCTGTTAGCACTGCAGAATTAACTGCAGGCTCACCAGACCTGCATTTCAACACAGCCCTCAACGGTCAGGTGGGAGAAGCCCCGGCCAGGTGCAGGGGCCTGGCCGGGTTTCTCCCCGGCGCTCAAGCAGAAGGGAACGCCAGCAAAACCACTTCTGTCACTAGCACGCACGCCCAGGACACGCCTGTTAGTACCGGAGCCAGATGATCTCGGTTGTACCCATTTCGCAGTCCGCGTCGGCCGCAGGGTAATAAGGAGCCAATGGAGGGAAGAGGCGGGGACTCTGGGGTCGGGAGGCAGCCTCGAGGCCGTTCAACTGGCTGGCCCCGCACAGCCGCTTAGGTGACTGGTTACGAATGCAGCGTGAGAGTCAGTTCTGGAGCTACCTGGAAGCCGTAATTTGGGAGATTATTTAGCTTTTTTTCAATCTGGTGTCCACTCGCCTTCCTGGGCCGACAGGAAGGAGCCACCTCAGGTAAGGAGGGCTGCCGGGGGGCCTCCCCGATCCCAGCCATCCTAACCATCAGCCCCGCACCACGAGGCCCGCAGGCGCTGGCTAGCGCTCCAGGCCACTTTTCTTGGGCGCCTGGACCTGACCTCTGTCCGGTGCTTTGCTGTGGGAGTGGCAAGCGGAGGAGTCAGTTCTGCAGGGCACCCGGGCCCCTGTGGCATCACGTGACCAGCCCCCCGGGGTTGTTGGTCAGGGTGCCAACTTGGGCATCTGGGGGCAGCCACAGAGAGGACTCGCCCTTAGGTGCAGTCCTGCGGGAGGCCACTCAGGCACCCTCAGTGTCCACACTATCGCTGGGCATCGCCGCATCCTACCCGGAGCCCCGGCCTCCCACCGCTTTGAATGTCCCCTCCCACCTCCTCCCTTTCTAACCAGGGTTGCTTCTTGGGTCGCATCCTGTATAACTTCATCGTCGTGGCGGCTAACACGCAACTGCTGGGCTCGCTAAGGAGGCAGGCCATGCTTCACCTACTTTCTGTACATTAACTCACTGGAGCCCTGAGAAGCAGGTATTCGGATGCCCTTCCACGGAGACGAGAACTGAGTCACAGAGACGCTGCGTGACTTTCCCAAGATGACAGAGCTGGTGACGGAGCCGGGCTGTCTGGCTTCAGAATCGGGCGGGTTGTACTCTTACTTCTTGCAGTATGCTTTTAATGTGCTGTAACTATGTTTTTCAAAATTATTTATTTTGCAATAAATAATTCCCTGAGTCACTTCCCAAATGACCACAGCAGCCAGAAACTCCATCCAGGACCTCCGCATGGGTGGCGGGAACTCAGCGACTTGAGCCATTGCCTGCTGCCTCACATCAGCAGGAAGCGAGAATTGAATGGAGCTGTGCTTCAAACCCAGGCACTCGGATGTGGGACACAAGTGTCTTAGCCTCTGTCTTAACTGTTACAATGAATGCCAGCCCGTCATTATGTTGACTTCATTTGTTAGGCCTAAGTTTCCTTCACAGAAATGTAAGCACCTTGAGGGCAAGCAGTCTGTCTTATTTATGTTGCGCCCCCCATCACCTAGAAAAGTACCTGGCATCCAGCAATAAATACTGCTGAATGAATGAATGAATGAATGAGGCCAGCGGTAGATGTCTTTTCAGGGTTCCTCATCCAAAGCCATATGGAGTTGTTACCATCTCCCAACAGTTGCTGCGAACCTCAGGCCAAGCACATCAGAGCACAGGTGGCACTGGGAAAGCTGCCGGGTGGGCGGGGAGGCTGGCGCCCTGTGCTCCTGCCCACCACCTTGAAGCTGGCTCAGGGCAAGCAGAGTTACAGGCTGTGGCCCCGAGGCTGCCTGGGAAGCCCCAGGATCCTGGCTGTGAAACCCACAGAGGCTCCAGGTTCACTCCGGGGAGCCTTGACTCTAGGCCAGGCCTTCAGCCAACCGTACAGGATCCAAAGAAGAGAACAAAGGCACCAAGACCAGTGGAGCGCAGTGCCCGAGGTACAAAGGCAGAGCAGAGAAGGCTGCCTGG